TGGGCTGCTGAGCGGGAGCAGCAGAGGACGGGCCGCACAGCCCTCGACTGTGTCTTTTTGCAGGATTATCTCCTCACGACAAGGCTAACCACCACCAGAGCCGCTCGTTTCCATGCTTCTGACCGGTGGAAAAGCATCTACATTCATTACAGTCAAAAAACCGCATGTTGTTAGATAGGATTAATCAGAAAAGTGAAAAATGACTAGCCACAGACAACCTACAAATGGTACTGGTGTACCAGTTAGTCTGGTACAGGACAGCAGCAGAATCACTAGCACAAGGCAAAAGATGAGCTTTGAAATGATTTTACTGAGACCTTTGGCTAGTGTGGCTCCAATTGGTGTGGTCAAACTCAGCCAGAAATTTAGTTTGGAAGGTCACGGGGAAGAGAACAGCAGAGTCCAGAGCCAGCTCCACAGCTGCACTATGTGTAGAAGATGATCTCTGGGATTTGTCCATCCTCCACCGAAGTGCCGTTGTTGTTCCCGGCCGCGTAACAGAACGTAAAGCAGGTTTTGGCTCCCGTTGTTGGCGACTCGTGGATCACTTTGCGCAGTCCTTTGGTTCCGTAGTGGGAATCTGGACCCTGCGACGGTCACAGAAGACAAGAACAGATCAAGACGGGGATCGCAGCCCCGCAGGACCCTGCTGCCCAGGTGTGCTCTGGGGGGTTTGGCCTCGCAGACTGGCCCCAAGAACGAGCTTTGGCGATCTCAGCACCTCCCTTTTCTTTCTGGTTCTTGCACCTCAGGTGTTTTGAGTAAAGCTCTCCTCTCTACCAGAACCTAACACTACATTTAACCAGGTCTCAATAGTTAAATACCAACTTTTTTAAGCCACGGCATGCAGGCTCTGGATAACGTGCCTGCAGAACTGACAGTTCATCTGCACACTCCAAGAAAAAAAAAAGAAAATCTCATCACTTCATCGCTAACATAGCCTGTTCATTAACTGTACACTTGCCAGACAAGTTAAAAATCAGCTCCTAGTGCTGGTGGTGAACATGCTCATCGCACCACGGGGTGAAGAACTACAGAGCAGACATTCCAGATCATACTCCAGGCCTTGGAAAACACAGATGTTGCGCTGACGGGACTAAAGCAGCCTGCTTTCACCTGTCTCCGTAAGCCTCTCTCCCACCCGTGCCGCCCCAGTACGGTACCTTGAGAGTAGCACACGCTGTGTAGTTGACGTTGGGTAAAATCTCAACAGGCTCCTTGAACATGACTCGGAAAGTGTTCGACGATCCGTCACAGCTGAACCCCGTGTCGTTCTGCCCCAGCACCGTGTTGCTGTCCGTGTGGATGATCTGCAAGACACGTATTAACCAGGCTGAAGCGGGCTGAATCTGAGGGACTCAATAGTTTGACGAGCCCCGTTACGCCAGGGGAAATTTAGGTCAGATATCAGGAAGAATTTCTTTCCAGAGAGGGTTGTGAAGTATTGGAACAGGCTGCCCAGGGAGGTGGTGGAGTCCCCATCCCTGGAGGTGTTTAAAAACTGTGTGGATTTGGTGTTGAGGAACATGGTTTAGGGACTCTGACAGTGCAGGGGGAATGGTTGGACTCGATGATCTTGAGGGTCTCTTCCAACCAGATAGTTCTATGATTCTGTAACTGCACTACCCCATCGTTTATGTCCATCTTCAGTGCTGCGATCACACCAGACAACGGTGGGCTCGGCTCCCAGACAGCCCAAGACGATCCCTCCTGACCCTGAGGACTGCAGGCCGATGATCTGTGCTTACATCTTCACTTGCCTTTCTCCTCCAAGAGCTCAGGGGCACCAGAAGGAGACCCTGACAATTAAGGAAGAAGTGCTGACACTGTGCTCGTCACGTCAGCCATGTTGTGCTGGGGTAGCTTTCCTGGAGATGGCTGCTCTCCAGTGATCCAGACTGGGGTTATGTACACACACCCAGAACAAGGCAAGATTTCCGTACACCACCTCAGTCTTTGATCAAGATCACGATGGACTGCAGTCAACTGAGTCTCCCTCAGTCCTACTTGTCATCTCCAACGGGACACCGACGGCGTGAGGGCGCACACGGGTGCTGCACGGGCCCAGCACAGGCACTGCGATCACTTTCTTCTCTTCCCCTGCCGAATCGTGGCTGCTCCACTGCGTTGCTACAGCTTGGAGCAAAAGATGGTCCAAGTCCTCTTGCAGCACCCAACTGTTGCTGCAGCACCTGCACCACACCTGCTCGGCGTGGGAAAACACGTGCGGCATCACAACACTGAGACGTATTTTCGAAGCTGCAGTTGGGCTTGGGGAGATACTGCAGTGACACATGCAACGGGAGGCTGCATAAAACTGAGAGCAATAATCCCTCCGATTCCCAGTGCCCCATCTGGCCCTCACGACATCTGCCACCCACCTAGAGAACACACAGTCCCTGCTGACTTCACGTTTTGTTGCATAAAACGTGTAAGGCAGGCCCCAGAGCAGCAATCATTTTTAACGTAGGAGAGAGAATTACCTGTATATTGACTTGGTAATCCGTTGGCCCGTGTATGGATCCATACAATCCAAACCCAACTACAAATATCCTTTTGTTTACTGAGAACCTGCAGGAACAGATCAGGAAAGTCAGATCAACTTGCTACTCCTGTACTGTTTTAGTACAAGGATAACACCCGAATACCTTCACTCACTTCCATTTTACACCTAGCACTTAATCAAACACACTAGTTTTAAGTGCAACTCTTACCAATAACTGAAATTCTTGACAGGAATCATAAGCTTACACCTTCGACTGCCCGAACAGGCCGACCGTAACTTTGTTCATGGGAAATACAAAGCTGCACAATCCCATCACCAAACTTCAGAGCCCAACGCTCGGAAAGCCTTTCAAGGCTGCGGCACAACATCGGCATCCCAAAACGGCAGCCCGGCCGGGCGGGGCAGCCTGCCGAGCGCGGGACAGGGCCCCCCCCCACGGCAGCAGCAGCCTTTCCAGCGAGGGGACAGCGAAGACCACTGGAAGTGTCGTTAGATATTTCAGTGCTGAGCACTGGAGGAGAATCCTTAATGTGCTTCTGAGTAGTCGCTGGATAGAGCCGCAGGGCAGCTGCACTCAGGATTTACCCAAGAGTAGAAAATAAGATTCAGTAGCTCCTGAATGCAGGAATCATTCTGGGCCCCTCCAGCGAGGGGACAGCGAAGACCACTGGAAGTGTCGTTAGATATTTCAGTGCTGAGCACTGGAGGAGAATCCTTAATGTGCTTCTGAGTAGTCGCTGGATAGAGCCGCAGGGCAGCTGCACTCAGGATTTACCCAAGAGTAGAAAATAAGATTCAGTAGCTCCTGAATGCAGGAATCATTCTGGGCCCCAGTTCAAGGACAGGGAACTGCTGGAGAGAGTCCAGCGCAGGGCCACGACGATGATGAAGGGAGTGGAGCATCTCCCTTCTGAGGAA